ACACACACACACAATCATCAGGGTGGAGCCCCCTGGTGGCCTCGGGCTCTGTTAGCACTAATTTACTTCTCTACTAAACATCTTTTAATCCATAAACATTGTTCTCTGCTGCAGAAGAGAAAGATGATTCATCTTTAAATGAATAAAAAGATAATTGACTTCTTGCTGGACGAATCGATGACATCGTTAAGTGATTTTATGTGAACAGCTGATGTTTGAAGGACCAGTTCACAGATCAAAACATTAGTCATTCTGCTGTTTCTTTGTGTGTTGTCAATAAAGTTGAATCAGCATCTGAACTCATGAAAAACAGTCAAAGTAAAGTCAACAGATACAAAACATCTGGATCATTTTATTGGACCTTTTATCTTTTACACATCTGGGACACAAACAAGACAACCAGAGCCTTTGAGCAACACAGTGGAGTTAAATCTTTATTTCTCTCTTTTAATTTAATGAAAACTTCTGAAGACTAACTGGATAAACTAACTGGATAAAAACAACAACAAACATCTGGTCGACAGACAGACAGACAGACAGAGACATGTTCTTGGTGAAGATGTTATCTTTATGAGGTCAGTGGATTTCTTCTCTTCTGGACTTGTAGTCCAACAGCTCATGTTTGTAGTTTTCTAACCACAGAGGAAGAAAGGCTCCGGCTCTGAGATTAATTAATTAAATCAAAATTAATTCTCAACTTTGTGTAAATGAAGTCAGATTTAAGTCTGAATTGTGTTCATGAGAACATTTATTGAATGAACTAAAGTCTATCAATCTTTAGGATTTAGAGGAAAACAAAAGTGTGAATTCTGAAATATTTATGACTTTCTAAGAAACAAATGATTTAAAGTGAAACAGATTATTATCAGAATGAAATCATAAATAAGTCAGAGTTTAGTTCCTCTAAAGCCTGACGTGAGTTTTTAAAGATAGAAACAAACAAAAAGACTTTAATCTCAGAACTGGAGGAGCAGCCTGGTGAGGTCAGAATCCAACATGGCCAACAGGTGGGGGGGTGGGGGGGTCCTATTTGTGGCGGCTGCCTCTCCTCTTCATGGCCACCGTACACTGAGGACAGAACCACTTCCCTTTGGGGGCCTCGGTCAGACCCACACAGCCGTAGTGGAACCACTCGATGGGGCACTGAGGGACCATCGGTGACATCAGTGACATCATTCACATCAATCATTAACGTTCTATTGATTAGAATCAATCAGCGGAATATGTAGTTTATAAAACACATTTAATAAATGTTGCTGTGGAATCTAATTCTACTAATAAGTTAATAATGACACTTACATCCGTGTTATCACAGCCGACCATTTCTCCATAAGACACCTGGAACCAAAGCATCGCATGATTATTACACTTCATAGATCACCGGGGCTCGTACCCGTTACAGACGCGGCGCCGGGACTCGTACCCATTACACATGCAGTATCGAGGCTCGTACCTGGTTACAGATGCAGTATCGGGGCTCGTTGGGGTCGTAGGTCCAGTCCACCTGGCTGTTGGCCTCGGCCTCAGGCAGTGCTGAGGCCTGCTGGGAAAGCTCCTGAGCCAGTGCTGATGATGAGGAGCATGACGACAGAGAGGAAGAGGAGGACGATGAAGAGGACTGATGGTTGGAAGACTTGATGCTGCTTCTGGAAAAACAGGAAGATGAGACAGTGAGGAACGTTTGACATCAACACTAGCTGGTACAAATATCTGTCAGATTCATCAACAGAGATGTACTTCTGTCCTACTTGTACACATTTATTATGTTTATATGTATATTTATATCATTTTAGAGATGTTTGCATTCGTCAGGTATATACTTTAGTCATAGATGTTTGTAGTTATTATGAAGACGCCTGGTGGAGGACCAGGATCTCCTGATGGAGCCACAAGAGCTACAGCAGCACCATCTAAACTCAAGTTATCATGTCTCTGCCTCTTAGATGCATGTGTGTGATCAGGTGTGTGTACACAGGTGTGTGTACACAGGTGTGTGTGTGGCTGCCTTACTTGGACTTGCGCCCCCTGGAATCGGAGGCCGTGGTGGGGGTGAGGGTCTGGGTGAGGGTGGAGGCCAGAGCAGAGGAGGAGTATCCTGTGTTTTCTCGGGACAAAGTGAACTCTCGGCCCAGCTGGAAGTCGTTGTTCTTGATGGCTTCGTAGCTCGCTTTCAGACTGGACGTCCTCCTGCCCTCCTTCATCTGAACAACAGAAAAAAAGTCACGAAACGTAACAGCTGACGTCTTCAAATGTCTCGTTTTATACAAACCAACAGCACGAAACTGTGTGTGAGTCTCCTCACCTGTGCCGTGGCCTGGACAGCCTGAGCAGCAGCCATGGTGATGGCCCCGGCTCCGGCCCCGGGCCCCGCCGGCAGAGAGCTCAGGTTGTAGGAGGCCAGAGGCTGAGAGGAGTTCACACTGTACACGTTGTTAGTGGACGAGGACGTGCTGTTAGTACGGCAGCCTGTAGGGGACACAAGTCATGGTGAGAACACACACACACCACACACACACACACACACACAGACACACACACACAGAGAGACACAGACACACACACACAGAGAGACACAGACACACACACACACACACACACACACAGAGAGACACACACACACACACACAGAGAGACACACACACACACACACACACACACACACACACACACACACACACA